TATTAGTGCAGCAAAAGTACGAGAAGAAGGGCTTCCAGAGGATTGGCGCCAATGGAGTGCTGTTTGGCTCTGACGACGAGGAGGAGGAGGACGACGGCGGCCGCGACTCGGAACTAGTGGTTCACCGAAACGGCCGAACTGTTCATAGGAAGCCGTTAGTGAGCGTCAAAGAGTATACGGACGCGCCCTCCACTTCGGACGAAGACGAGCTCTACAATGTCCACAATTGGCGCGGCAATCAGTTATAAGACAAACACTCCAATAGTGTATTGTTTTGTTTTTATGGTGCGATTCGCGAACCCGATGTCCTCTAGTCTTGAAGTACTTTTTATAAATGAGACTTTTATAATGAATTTTAAATGATTTATTTTTCTAATCATAAATAATGTGTTTTTTGTTTAGTGTACAGTAATTAAATGAACTTACAGTTAGTGTATTTGTACACTAATGAACTGATTTTTATTACATTGTATGATAATCACCGATCGCTGGCTCTTAATCCTAACCTAAGCTATAGTTTTGTTAAATTATGTTAGTTTTGCTGTTATTGTGTACTTCTCTGTAATAGATCTCTGTTTATATGCTTGTATTTATTGGGAGAAAGTTTTTAAATTTGATTTTTAATGCAATTTATATTTTCTCTAAACGATACACATTGTATCGCAAATATATATTTATTTAAATTTTGATAATAATTATTATAATTATGATTACAATTGATTTGTAAATCCGTTGTCTGTTTAACAGAATTTCTAATACATTTCGCTGCAATCGCTTATAAAGTGTACGATAAGTGCCTTATATTTTTGGGTAATATTTTTGTTAAACATATTAATTATGAAATTTCACCATTAAATTGAACCGAAATTTTTCCGATAACTTATTTATTGTATAAATTGTTTTAAAAATGTATTTTACTAATTATGAGCTTTAAATCACAAGTAAATTATTATTTTATTTTAATTAATTACTCGAAAATAAAATTAATTTTTCAATATTTAAATAGAATTAGTTTTTATTCAATTCAAAAACATTGCAATTAATATATATTTTTGGTTAGTTTTTACATGTGATTCATGTCTTGTTTAATATAAGTTAAAACAGATTTTTATTTAAATATAAATCACTTGAAATCCTGATAACAAATAATATATTTTTAATGTGTAATAAATCAATTATAAAAAAATAATATTATATTGATATATAACACACAATACGTGCAAATTGTAATCAATTTGATTGTTGTCTAAAATTTTATAATTATTTAAATACTAATCAAATCCGTAATTATAATTACATTTATATTATTAACACATTATAATAGACTAAATAAGTTATAATTGATTGCAAGTGTTTGGCATTAAGTGCTCTGAAATATAATTGCATTGAATTTGAAAAGTATTGCATTAAAAAACAATCAATTGTTTGAATTGATGTGCACTCTATTGAAGTAAAATCTCATGATCTTATCATTTAATAAAACGCTAACCAAACCGACAATCGGTATAAACAGGAATTGAACAAAAGATTTGCCGTAAAAGCGGCCGATTTGGTCGCCAAACGTGGGCTCCGGTCGCGAATAATTGACGTAAATAACGACCGCAACGGTCGACACAATCGTATTGATGAGTCGGACAGTGAAGTTGTTTTTGTTACGCGCGACCGACAGGTAGTTGTTTTTGTTGACGAGTGGCAACACTTGAGTGAAGGCCACACCTATGCCCACAGCGGCGCCCGACGCCCGCCAAACCACGTACAGCGGACTCGTGTCCGCCTTAACATTGTTGATGTCCGCGCAGTATAGTTTGGCCAACTCTAGCGACCAGTCGGCACCGCTTTGGCCACCGAATCGATTGAGACACTCGTGGAAGGCGTACGCGATTGCCATCAGTAACATCGATATAAGGATATGTCCGCCCAATGCCAGCCGTTGAATGTCCACCAGTTTCTCGACCATTACGGCCAACACAATGCCCGCAAATAGACCGATGAGACACTGGTCGGGAAAGTGGGCCGATATGTAGATCCGGCCCAACGAGACCAACATTAGTGTCGATATGAACGCGATTCGGGTGAAGAGCCGCTGCCGTCGCGATGCAATCACTTTGTGTTTAATCAGTTGTATGATGAGTGAGAACCAGACGGCAGCCGAACACATCACGTGACCCGACGGGAAACCGGGACCCGTTTCGCCTATCAATCAAACAATCAATTCAAACGTTAAATACTGACCATATTATCGAAACTAAATCATTATCTGTTTTACAAATTAAGTCATGGATTGAGTGAGAAATTGTAATTACATTTACTCTAATCTCAAAACACTGAAAGTAAGGCTAGGATTGGGTTCGATATATCGAGAGTTCAGTAAACATTGGAGACATACAAGTGATTGGGAACTGTTTGAGCCGAAGACGATTCAATTGTCGCGCGTACTCGTAATCGGTGGTCACGTCCTGGAAGTAGTGGCTATGGTTGGTGGCGGCCAAGTGCTGGGCGGCCATCGGTGCCCACCAATACGGCCGCTCGTCGTTGAACGTCCACTTGAGTATGAGGTTCAGCCACTCCGACAACACCGCTGTCCACAACATCTTGAAGGCCGCCGAATGCGACACAAATATGAAGCCAAACACAAAGTACAAGACGTATCCGTTTTGCGGATCACCTGATTGTGGCAAACAATGAACACGTGGTTAAGACACGGGACACACAAATACACCATTCATGTGATAATATATACCCAAATTGGAGGCGAATATAAAGATCGGTTCCAACAGTGATAGATGCGATTGAAATGAAGACATCGCCAGCACTTCATACAAACGAAACTTATCGACGATTGTGTCCAACATATTGGCCGCCAATCAGTAGTGAATCAACTCTTCGGACCACTAAATGATATGCAAATTAATATGAAATCACATGAAGTAAACGCTTTTAAGAGATCGGATCCCAAATGAGATTCACTACAAAAAGCACTTATGTTTGTAAACAAAACCATTCGTCACGTGATTAACACGTGTTTGTGTTTTGGCTTTTGTTTTGTTTGAGATTTTCATTCAAAGCATTAATTGTTTGTAAAAGTAAAACAATTGCAACATTTGTTTTACTGATACAACCGGTGGTGAACTGATCCATACTTTGGACACATGGGGTCGACATCAGTGGTGAGGTATCGTCGCATTCGCGATGACAAGCATTACATGTATTTAGACATCGGATTGTGAGTGCATTTCATTCATTGCCACACATTTGATGGCCATTTCTGGTGATCACCTGTTGTTGTCTTTGACAGAGAGTT